TTATATTCCTTTTCTTTACGAAACTTGCCAACTTACAAAACAAACAAAAACCTCTTATCCAAAACAATCCTATAAACCAATTGCACCCTTCACTCTCATACATTTGATATTTGGGGACTCGCAAGAATTAAATGGACTTCTAATGCTAGGTGGTTTGATACCTTCATTGATGATCACTCACGAGTGACTTGGGTATATCTGATGAAAGAAAAGTCAGAAATATTGAAAACCTTCAAAAGCTTTCACACATTTATAAAAACTCAATTTTAGGTGACAATCAGGGTGTTACGGAGTGATAATGCAAGAGAGTACCTTAGTACACCATTTAAGGAGTTCCTTGACTTGCAAGGAATCCACCATCAAACTTCGTGTATTTATACACTTCAACAAAATGGAATAGTTAAGAGAAAGAATAGACATCTTTTAGAAGTCACTCGATCCATCATGATTGCTAGGAATGTCCCAAATTTATTCTGGAAAGAAGTCATTCTTACCTCCACCTATCTCATCAATAGAATGCCCAAAAAAGTCCCAAATTACGAAACACCAGTCCAAAAACTACTAGAAACCTATCCTAGTTCCCTTTTAGTATCAGAGATTCCCTTGAAAGTATTTGGATGCGTAGTATATATACACAAAAATGACGGTGACAAGCTGAATCCACGAGCACTAAAATGTATCTTTCTTGGGTATTCACCTACTCAAAAAGGGTACAAGTGTTATTGTCCAACTACAAAAAAAAGTCTACGTCACTAAAGATGCTATGTTCTCTGAAGAAGATGTTTATTATCCTAAATTACCCATTTAGGGAGAGAATTATGATACAGATGAATGGCTAACCTTGGATCCCATAACCCAACCAAAACCAAAACAACCCAATCAATGTCCCTATAATACCTGAACCAACTTTACCAGTTTTAGACAGTCAGCCTTCTGAGCCTCCTGACCTTGAATTTTCAACAACAGAACCACAAATAGCAAATAAACAGCACCCAGCCCCCAACCTGAACCTAACAACTTACAAAATAGTGCCTAGGTTGATACAGAAATGAACCATTAGCAGAATAGTGAATCTAATGAGGAAGAAGAGCAAGAGAATGGAGTCCCTCACATTCCAAGGCATAACCAAGACTCTAATTCAATGTCAAACTTTGAGGAACTTGGCTGGCCCATTACTCTTAGAAAAGGGGTAAGATTTTGTACTTAGCATCCAATTAGTAAATTTGTTTCATATGACAAATTATCTCATAGAATGCAAACATTTGCCATGAGTTTATCTAATGAGATGATACCAAAAACATTTCAAGAAGCCATTAGTGATCCTAATTGGAAAAAGGCTATTACTGAAGAATTAGAGGTATTAGAAAGAAACAAAACATGGCGAATTATGGATCTGCCTTCAGGGAAGAAGATAGTAGGTTGTAGATGGGTGTTTACCATCAAGTACAATCCAGATGGGAGCATTAACAAGTACAAGGCAAGGTTTATGGCCTAAGGGTACACACAAACTTATGGAATTGATTATCAAGAAACTTTTGCATGAGTAACCAAACTCAACACCATTAAGGTACTTTTGTCAGTAGTAGCAAATCTAGACTAGCCACTTTACCAGCTAGATATAAAAAAATGCCTTCCTAAATGAAGATCTTGAAGAAGAAGTATATATGGATATACTTGTTGGCTTGTGAAACTCTACAGGCACAGCAAAGGCTTGTAAATTACAAAAATCATTGCACGGGTTAAAACAATCCCTTAGAGCTTGGTTTGGGAGATTTTTCAGGACAATAAAGAGAATGGGCTACTCACAAGGACAATCAGATCATACACTATTTATAAGACATAATGGTGGTCGAATAACCATCTTAATAGTGTATGCAGATGATATTGTTATTACTAGAAACGATGAATGTGTCGTGAGGGAACTGAAGAAGTCCTTAGTAGATGAATACGAGATGAAGGACTTGGGACAACTGAGATACTTCCTAGGGATGGAGATTGTGAAAACAAAAAAGGGAATCAATGTCTCTAAGAGGAAGTATACACTTGACTTGCTACGGGAGACTGAGATGCTTGGAGCAAGACTAGTTGAAACTCCCATGGAGGCTGATTGTAACTTAGAGTACGAAGAGGATGGTATACTAGTTAACACTAGAAGGTACCAAAGGCTAGTAGGCAAACTCATCTACTTAGCCCATACATGCCTAGATATAAGCTTCGCCGTAGGGGTGGTGAGTCAATTCATGAATAAATCTCAAGAATAGCATATGGAAGCAATATACCGGATTCTAAAGTATTTAAAGATGAACCCTAGAAAAGGGTTGTTCTTTGTAAAAAGGAAGTCTAGAGGTATAGAAATTTATACCGATGTGGATCATGGGAGATTAGCTCTCGATCGAAGATCTACCATTGGTTACATTACATTCGTATGGGGAAACTTAGTTACTTGGAGAAGCAAGAAGTAGCCTGTGGTTTCTAGAAGCAGTGTTGAGGCAGAACTAAGGGCCTTAGCCCTTGGAGTCTGTGATAGAATCTAGATAATTAGAGTACTTAAGGAATTGCGGCTTATACACACTACACCTATAAAATTATGGTGTGGCAGTAAATCAGCTATAGAGATGGCCATAAATCCTGTACACTATGACGGAACCAAGCATGTTGAGATTGACCGACACCTTATTAGAGAAAAAAAATCAAAGGTAGTGTTATTAATCTGTCCTACATGAAAACCAAGAATCAAGTAGCAGATCTGTTTATTAAACCACTGCCAAGAGACTCATTTGAAGGGCTAAGGAGCAAGCTGGAAATGATCAATATCCATTCACCAGCTTGAGGGGGGTGTGTTTGAAGATGATATAGCCTCTGCCTAGGCCCAAGCCCAATAAATAGTGTTTTTACTTATTAGAGAATAGGATTAATTTATACATTATGTATTTCCTGATTATGTTGGATTTACCTATTTTTATCCTATATTTATCTTAGATTTACCCTAGGTAGCCTTCTTGGCTTGATATAATGTACTCTTATTCAGTTAATGAAGGACATAGAACTATTTTTCTGCCCTTATTTGCTCATTTTTAAACACAACTAAAACTTTGTTGATTGCTAAAACTATAAAACCATATCATTCACCTTAGTTTTATGGCAAAAAGACTTAGCAAAAGGTAAACCATAGGTCATCCTCCAACCCAAAAAACAAAAACAAGGTAAAGAGACGAAAATGAAATTGCTGCCATTTCTATCCTTTGGTATAGTTGGGAGAAAACAAAATGCTTCAACATCATTAAAACCATGGGATTTGGATTTTGAGTTTGAATAAAGAAAAGATTAAAATCAATAAGTACACTCTTCGGTCACAGAAGTTGGTTTGCGCTCTTCTACTTTTAAGACAGGATTTTAGCATGGAGCTCAACATGTTAAGCGCAAATATTAAATTAAGCCACTACTGTTCATATGAATGAATAGTAATAATAAAGTATACATGTTTAAGTTATATAGATAACATAATAGAAACAAGTCAGAGAGCTAGTGATTTTGTAATTTAGCAACATAGAGACCCTTACAATTAAGAAATCTTGAATTTGGTCTCGCCTATAATCTCATATAATTAATACATATTTTTCTAATTAAAAAAAATTATAAAACCATATATCGTAGAAATAACATGACATGCTTTTCTAGCAATTTATGCACCTCTTCATGTATGAAATTTAAGTATTCTAATTTTTAGTTCTTAGTATAAGAGCTAGGTTGACTAATTGAGTATATCAAAATAATTAATTAAGTTAATTATTTATAATCAATAGGCATTATTTTTTCTAAAATACCCTTGATAATTATATATATTAGCTATAACTATTATTTGACGAAATATTTCACATATACAATTGCTACATGATTATTTTAAAAAATAGATAAATATGAGAGATAAAGTGATCATGTTCTTATATTTAGGGGGTGTTTAGATGAAAACAAAATCATGGTTTTAAAAGTGATCTTACGATATACGAAGTAAATATGTAGAAGAGTTTATCTCGATTTGCGGAAAAATAATTTTGAGAAGCACTTTTACAGCTTCTCAAACACTTGACTTACAATCAAATTGAATGTTAAACTAGCTCTTATATTGAGGACATGAGATAGTATTAAATTTTATATTATATATTAATTGATATATTAATACACAAAAAACATATGTATATTATTTCAGCTTTTTTGACAAAATATATATTATGTCAGTTGAATAATATTGATTCACACACATGTAAATACATATGTGCATGTATGCACTACTTCTCAAAAGAATTTTTTTCTTCTGCCAACTCTACTAAAAACAATTTGTTCATGTGCTATAATAAACCACAAACATTTGTCTTACTTTTTTGGATAAATAGAACATGTGTCTTACTGCAATGCCTAATAAATAAACATATTTATGGATATAAATCTATAAGGAGTGGTTTGTTAACATTAATACTTTTGCATAAAAAACATTTAAATATTGTAGCATTTATGGCAACAAATAAAATAATAAACTAAATGAATAAAAAAGTATTTTGAAAAAGACGGCTTCTTCTCTGAGTTCGCCCGCCCTTCCTCGTCCGTCCCGTTCCGACCGAGCAGCACAGCCGACAGCCCTCACAGACCGTAAAGAAAGAAGACGATTTAATATATATATATATATATATATAAATGTGTGTGTATCAGAATTACTCATTAAAAATAATTCAGATAATTCAACAAAAACTGAAAAGTGAAATAATAATAATTACCCAAAAGACGAGCTCTTTGCTAAAAGAGCATCCCAGCCGTTACCGTACGCCCTCACTGATTTCACTGTCACCCCTCTTCTTCTCCCTTTCTATCTCTCTCTCTCTAGCTTCGATATCACAGTGCTCACTAGGTACTTTTTCCCTCTCTTACTTAGGGTTAGGGTTTCTGCATTATCATGTGAAATCCTGGATGCTGTAATTTCTTACTGTCTGGGGAGATCAGTGTAACGAGATCGAGCTCTTGGTGGCAGTGGTCGTGTCTGGATGGGGAATTGTTGCAGATCTCCGGCTGCTGTTGCCAGGGAGGATGTCAAATCCAACTTCTCCGGCCACGATCACGGCAAGAGGGACTCCAACGCCGCCAAGAAGAATCGGGTTACGGTTCTTACGGACGTGCCCAAGGAGAACATAGAGGAGAAGTACTTGGTGGATCGGGAACTCGGTCGGGGTGAGTTTGGTGTGACTTATCTGTGTATTGAGCGGGAAACTAGGGAGCTACTGGCTTGCAAGAGCATTTCCAAGCGGAAACTGAGGACTGCGGTGGACATTGAGGATGTTAGGCGTGAGGTTGCCATTATGAAGCACTTGCCCAAGAGTTCCAGCATTGTGAGCTTGAAGGAAGCGTGTGAGGACGACAATGCCGTGCATTTGGTCATGGAATTGTGCGAGGGTGGTGAGCTGTTTGATCGCATTGTGGCACGTGGCCATTATACCGAACGAGCCGCCGCCGCCGTCACAAGGACGATTGTGGAAGTTGTGCAACTTTGTCACAAACATGGGGTTATTCATAGGGACTTGAAGCCGGAGAATTTTTTGTTCGCCAATAAAAAAGAGAATTCACCTTTGAAGGCTATCGATTTCGGCTTGTCTATATTCTTCAAGCCAGGTAATAATTTTAATACAGGAATGTGGTTGCTTATCGTACCTTATGGAAACTTCTATCTCAGGCGTGGGAAGCTAGGATTAATGAATTGTGATAATTTTCATATATCGTGATGCCACCAGTTGTTATTATGGTTCAATTTTGAATTTTGCTAAATAAAACACGCTTGTTTTTTCGTTGTCTTGGACGAGGGGTTGGAAGGTTAGTGGAGAGGATTAGTTGATATTACGACAGTTCCTTGAAGTGCGCCCTGCCATTGTTACGTTATTGATATTTTTGTGTAAAGTTTGTTCTTTTAGACAACTCTGTTTGTGGACTAGTACTCTTTGGGATGCTTATGATCCCTAGCTAGGTTGTAGATGCAGTGAATTTCTTTATCATTTATTAAACCCCCATATGGATGCAGAAAAGTAGACTTGCAATATGCCCCTCATTCGAAGGAAAAAAGTATATTTAAGTGGATGATACTTGTCAAAAGTAGACTGTTGAACACTTGAACCGAAATAGATAATATACTCTTCATGAGTTTTCTGCCTGTGGTCATGAGCTTCCATGTGTAACATATCATTGGCTGCTGAAGTAAGCGGAATGAGTTGCAGGGGAATCACGTTATTTCTGTCCGTCGAAGTCATGACCCACTAATGTAAGAATAATTGCTAAACGTTAATGTAGTTGGTAGTTACAGAATGATTGATCATTGATAATGTTATATACAGTAAGTAGTTGCAGAGTGTAGGGTTGCAAGTAGGAAATAATCTAGAAAAACCTAGATAGTATCCATGTGTTGTGCATGACTTCTGAAAGCTTGACTAAAATCTTTTGAACTCTTCTAATTCAAGCCCTTAGTGGACAGACTCAATGGCCATTCTTATGCCTACCAAATATTTTTGCCCTGTCTCAGAGATGAAGCTTGGATCTGGGCAGGCTAATTTGATATACTCTTTAATTCTTAATCAGCTGGCGAGAATCAAATTCTCCATTCTTCAAAGCACTGCCTAGACTTGTGAGCACCTTCATTTTATATTTCCAAAAATAGAAGAACTGTGCTAATTGAGTCATTACGTAGGTCCATTGTAAAACCAAAATTAGAAATTTAGAGTCAACCTTAGATCTGGATTAGTGCCGATGGTGAAAGAACAGCAAACCCTTGGCTTGTTGTTTACATTCTGTAGGCATGTATGATAATTGGTGCTGGGGAACTAGGTTACTGTATATAATTTAAAATAGCAATGTGAACTGTCAAGAGTTCTGAAACTTGGTCACAAAGGATTTCATACCATGTCGACAAAAAACTTGTACTAGAATTCAAGCTTGTGGGAGAAGGGCTATAAAAATATATGATATCATATCTCTGACAAGAGCTATATAGCAATAGTGTTTTTTTTTTTTTTCATGGGGATAACTCAGAAGTACTCAATATGAAAGCAAATGCTATTTTAGTTTCATTTTCTGCTTCGAATGTTCATTTATATAACTATATTTGTGGTTGGAAGTTTTAAGATGCTACAATCACGATTCTATTTTCTTGACGAAGTATGGGTTTTTGTTCTGGTCTTTCTTCTTGATTGTCTTCTTACTCCAAACACATAGCATTAGATTGCATGCTCATATTTTCAGTTGCCCTTGCTTGAAGAATCCACACATGATTCGTATGATGTTATTTGCATGGGTGTTGCTCAAATTTTCAGGTGAGAGATTCTCAGAAATTGTTGGAAGTCCATATTATATGGCTCCAGAGGTGCTCAAGCGGAGCTATGGGCCAGAAATTGATATCTGGAGTGCAGGAGTAATTCTATATATCTTGCTCTGCGGTGTTCCCCCATTTTGGGCAGGTAACTGCATTCCCTCTAGCAGTGCCATCTGCATTGTCATGCATGAATCACCATGTCTGGAATAGTGACATTCATGCATGCTTCTGCTCATTGTATCAACGCTCATGCCCTTATATATCAAAGTTCTAATATGGAATGAGAAAGGTTAAGTTAAATCTTGTATACCAGGGTTTTAGGTGAGAAGGTTTTTATGCTTTTGTTTGGTCCGTATGTGTCTGTGTGTGTATCAGTATCTTATATTCGGTTCAGGTGCAGTTGTTTCCTACTTCTGAACTTTGGTCCCGTATCGCAACTCACAGGAAAACATGTTATTTTACCATGAGGTTAATTATAATGCAGAATCTGAGCAAGGGGTTGCACAGGCGATTCTTCGAGGTCTCATAGATTTCAAACGGGAACCTTGGCCCAGTATTTCAGAGAGTGCCAAAAGTCTTGTTAAGCAAATGTTAGAACCAGATCCCAAGCTTCGACTAACTGCCAAGCAGGTGCTTGGTATGTTTCATTTATTTTGTGCTGAATTTCTTTATCGGAGGGATGCCATTTTTTAATTTTCCCTGTCTTGCATGCTACGTCGTACTTAATAGGTGCTAACTTCTACACCCTTATAATTTTTGCTATATGTTGGGTTCTTCAATTGAATTTACCCCTCACCTTGTTTGTTGTGCAATGTTTACATTCTGTAATGCCCATCAATCAAAATAAGTTATTGGAACTGATATCCACATTATAATTAAAGATGAGATGCATTTGCTATGCAAGTCATCCAATTTGAAGTTGCGCCCTTGCCTGATTGCTTTCTAATTTAGATGATGTTTAGATTAGTTAATCCAACGTGAAGTTCTTTCTCATTCATACATGTTACTCATTATATGCTATTTTTCTGTGTTTGCAGAGCATCCTTGGCTTCAAAATGCTAAGAAGGCTCCTAACGTTCCCCTTGGTGATGTAGTCAAGTCTAGGCTTAAGCAGTTTTCAATGACGAACAGATTCAAAAGAAAAGCCCTGAGGGTTGGTTGCATCTGTTAATATTGAATCTGTGATTTTACTGTAGATTCCCTGCGAGATAGAGCTAAATGTGTACACTTGGAAATAGGTCATTGCTGATTTCTTATCTACTGAAGAAGTTGAAGACATCAAAGAAATTTTCAAGAAGATGGACAGCGACAATGATGGTATCGTTTCTGTTGAAGAACTAAAAGCTGGATTTCAAAATTTTGGATCTCAACTTGCTGAGTCTGAAGTTCAGAGTCTGATTGAAGCTGTATGGTTAACTTCCTCTTCTTATTATACTTTCTTGCTTGAATTACGATATCAAAAGTTACTATATTATTTGATAGTGCACCCTTCATCAAGTAAAAATAGGTTCAAATGCTTTTCAATACAGTATTTTCCATAGCTGGATTTTTTGATTTAACATCTTAATTTGGCATACGGTATTCTAGTTATTAAATCGAACCTTTTTATATTGCCAACAGGTAAATACTAATGGGAAGGGAACACTTGACTATGGAGAATTTGTTGCCGTTGCCCTGCATTTAAAACGGATAGCTAATGATGAGCATCTTCGCAAAGCCTTCTCCTATTTTGACAAAGATGGTAATGGCTATATTGAACCAGATGAGCTGCGGCATGCATTGACAGAAGATGGTGCAAGTGATTGTACAGACGTAGCAAATGATATTTTCCTGGAAGTAGACACAGACAAGGTACATAGTTCATAAAGTTCCCTCTTTCCCCCTTTATTTGATATGAAGATGTATCTTACCCTTTGATATGATTACACAATCGCAGGATGGCCGTATCAGCTATGATGAATTTGTGGCTATGATGAAAACTGGAACAGATTGGAGGAAAGCCTCTAGGCATTATTCACGAGGGAGATTCAACAGCTTGAGCTTGAAGTTGATGAAAGATGGTTCTGTAAACTTAGGCACTGAATAGTGGTCTAGTGTGGGTGTGGCCCCTCTTTCTGAATCTACAATTACAAAGTAGTGTAATATTCCTCGTACATTCTGGACTTGATCTCTTTGTGATTATTATTTGGTTCCCTCGTTTGATGTTTGCCTATTGACGAGGTGCCGTGCGAATCAGGGAAGGAGCTGCATGCACCTACATACAGGCCTTTGTTGCTTCCATGAAGCAAGCTGCCTTGGAGCCATTGGTGTGTGACATGTATGATTCCTTTCTTTTAACCTCTCTCACCCTCTGTTCTGGTTAACAATGTTGAATCAAACTACGTAGTGCTGCCAGAGCATTTTTACCAAAGTAATGCGAATGCCTTGTTTTTTTATTCTGGACGCTTGAAAATTGGTTCATTCCTTCCCGAGATCTGCTAGCCGCAATTTTCTTTGGTGCTTGTTACAAGTCTTTTAAATGCATGGGATGGGCACTTATTCACAGCACAGGAAGAGTCTGGTTTTAAAAAAAAAATAAATTTCCTGTACTTTCTTGTACGTGACGTTACATATGATTAGGTGCGTTTGGGTTGGGCCATTAATGCTTCAACCACCAGGCCCTGGACTGGGCTCCTTGAAACTAATGGGCTCAAGCAAGTGTACAAGTACTGGTAGCTGGAATGTCTGCTTAATGATCCATGACTATATATGGCGTGTTGCTGGCCCGTGAACATTGATTGTTCACTGTGATTTGTGGGCCATCTTGGAAAATGATGGTAATACTCAATTTGCATGGGTTTTTTTTGTTTTTTTGCATTAAGGTTATCAAAATATATCTCAACAATTAAAACATCAACCAGATAAGATGGGTGATGGGATAACCTATATAACATTAATGATTAAACAAGATGTTTTATATTTTTTTGGTCGCATCAAAATGACATAAATAAAAAAGTAAATGAATAAAAAAAGTAAATGGAATGGGTTTTCGTGGTTTGGCATTTGATTTCCAACTTTTACGCATGGAGTAAACTTGGTTGGCAGGGTCTGTTCAAGGGAGATTAATTTTTAGTGTCAGTGAAAGATGCTCCTAATTTCCTACCCACAAAAAAAAAAAAAGGGAAAGAGAGAAAAGATTGAGAGGCAAGGAATTAAAGAAGTGTAGAGCACTTATTTGTAGGGTGGAGCTGTCAATGTTTGCTTTTGGTGGTATCCACATCTTGAGGGGATATTATTATTGTCCCTTTTGACTAATTTGATGCTAATCCTAATGGGCACTAAGCTCATAGACACATCTCACACTTGTAACTGTACACCTGATAATCATGAACCCAACATTTCAATTTTGTGGTTTATCAGCTTCAATCAAGGCTTCTTTGTCCTCAGCATCAAAAGCCCACTTTTCCATTACATTGAATCTGACTCCAATTCTCCCTCTCACTTCCCCCCCACACATCACATGGCTCCGCATTTTTAGAGGCTTATCAACTTCCCTATTACTATAATATAATACATCACTTCCTCTATCTCGTGTCTGTTGATTGACTAACGAGGAACACCCCCCCCCCCAAAAAAAAAAAAAACCCAGTGGTGCTTGTGTTGAGGAGGGAATTCAAAGTGTCAAAAGAAAATAAAATTGCATTCACTCTCCTCATCTGTCAACTGACAAACAGAGGATCTGAATTAACGAGCTAATTACAACAACAACAACCTAATCCAATTAGATGAGGCTGGTTGTATGGATTGTGTGATGTCATTATGTTCTATCAACAACTAAATTTTTGGATAAGTTATTAATCAATGAGTCTGGTTTAGTAACTTCTTTCTGATCTTGCTATCCTTTTTGGTCATATTCTACTCCTTTCCAAGGATTCCATACTGCTTGACCCGCCCTTCTCACTAATACATCCTATGGCTTTTGTTGAATGTGTCTGAACCGTTTTAAACAATTTTCTATTATTTTCTCATCAATGGATGTCACTTTCACTCTCTCATATATGTTTCTTGCGAATTCTATCTTTTTATTTTTCATTACAACTACACATTCATCTCAACATTTTCATCTCAATTGTTATTGTCGTGTATGAAACAAAAGTGATTATAGATATAAAATCTGAACTAAATTTTCTCATGTAGCATACATATTTTATTACTCTATCTCATGGATAACAAAGATTATTAGATGTTTAGATGTACGCATGATGTATTAAGAGTAATACACTAAATTTATCATAACTGAGATAGAAATTAGAAAGTCTCCCATGAGAGATTGGATAGTCAGGGATGAACGTTTTCGAGGAACAAATTCTTGTGCCAATTGACTTGCCCGTTAGGCTCCTAACTTACATTTTTCAGTTCCAAGCATGCTATAATGCTCTTGAATGTATTCTTTTGATTCTATTTATAAGGTAAAGAGAAAAGGTTTTTCTTGATCTTATTTATAAGTCATCTCATTAAATTTTTAGTATAAATATGCTATTTTGTTCTTCATTTACTATAGTATAGATGTTTTTTTTGAAGGTATATATATTAAATATAAATAAAGTTGGAAAATTGTTATGTTTTTAAAAAATTTAATAAAATTTAAGATTTTTTTAGTCTGTGAAAAATATGTCGAAAGTGCCCTGTAAATAGGACTAAAGAAATACTAATTAATTTATTCTTAACTAATATGTTCGGTGGTTAGATTTTAGGGTAGTTCAAATGATAATGATAAGAGTATTTTAAATTTTCTATGCACACACGTGCATGGATTTATATGGCGAATCCAACTAAAAAAATCTTTTAAAAAATTATTGATGTCATGTTAACGTGGCTATCACATTCGATGGCAAATACTAATATATATATATATATATATATATAATGAATGAAATATAATATATATTATGCAAAAGTAAGTTTGATACGATTTAGAATCTTGATGGACGTGGGAATGATTTTCCCCCCCATATTATAGGCACATTGCTCACATGTTAATCCGACGTCTTTCGAGAATTCTTGATATGTATTGGAAAAAGAAAATTGATGATTTGATTTGTCTTTTGTTTGTGTCGAGAATCTTGATGTGACTGGCAAGCAAAGGAATTTGGGTCACAAGCAAATTAAATGAATAAAATAAAGGCAAAGAATATGTCAAATGTGATTAAATTCAATGAAGGCCTTGTGCTTGGTTCCATCATGTCCTCCACCACCTTCTGCTTTCTTCATTGGTTCTCTGCCTCTCATAGGGAATCTTGCACAGATCGCTTCTCTTTTGACCATTTTAAAATTTAGGGTTTTCTGGTTATTCATTTGATGAGTCTGTGAATATAACTACAAAAAAGAAATTATCTCTTGAAGCTTGATGGTCATTTTGAGAATTAGATAATTTCTTGCATGGCATATCATCTTAGTTCAAGTTTACTGAAGGAATGCACGAAGTGACCTGTGAAATTAGTGCGCATTATTGAAAACCAATTTAAGTATTTATTGATTACATGTATTACCTCCGATTCTAATTATAAGAGTTAGTTAACTAATTTGAGGAGATTAAAAAAATAAGTTAAGTTAGTTATTTGCCATAAATAGGGGTTGTCTTTCCTCAAATATCTTTACTAATCAAATATATTAGCTATAATTACTATTATTAGAAGGACTATCTAGCTTGGAAAAAAATTGTACAAATATAAAATACAAAGTGGATTGAGGTTTTATATTTAAGACCAAAATAAAACAAAGTTTTATATTAAGAACCGGAGGTGGTACCTAATAACAGGCTTAAAATAAAGTTCATCATCATGTTGTAAGATCAAAATTGCTATATCATAGTGAGTACTGAGCTTTAACAGGACGATAATAATATAAAATTAGGATAGTAGTGATGAGGATGTTTAGATAAAGATCATACGATTACTGAATAAAAAATGAGAAAAAATTATTTGAGTTACTTTGAACTTGTGCACAGAAAATCGTTGAAGGAAGACTGAAAAGAGAGGTTAATATGAAATTATTAAATGAGATCTTTTGGTTAATGATTTTATTCAAAATTTAATTGTTGATAAAGTTTAATAACACTATACAATTTATATAACCAATCCCACCTGTTGAGATAGGACTTATTATTGCTATTGATTCTCATTTATCAGGATTAATTTAGATAATTAAATAAAATACTTAGTGCATGTTTGAATTCACTATAAAAACCACCAAAACTAAATGGAAGCAAACACATACGTTATATTATTTTCTCTCAAGTCCAATTGAAATTGCATAGAATTTCTTAATTTCCTTTTCACTTTTAGGAAAAAAATTTGTTACATTTTAAAAACATAAAAGAGACTTGTGTAATTTTAACATTTTGTTTGGTTATTTTCCTTATATTTCAGACAAACTGTGTGTAAATTTTGAAATTAGAGGGCATCTGTGTAATCCTAGATAGTAAAATTAATAGAGAGTTTGTATGGATTTTAAAAATAAAAGGAAAATATAAACAACTGAACTACAATTTGGATGGGTATGTTTGTATGAAGTTGTAAATGTTATTGTTATAAAACTAATTAAATGAGTTAGTCAAATTGCATAAAATTAAAAAGAAAACACAATAAAACTAAAAATATCATCTTTCCTGTGGTAGTCTTACGCATGCTACAATCTAGACGGTTGATTGGGACATGAATTACCTAACAATTACCTTTTTAGTGGAAACAAAATCATTCATCCTTTGGATGTACTTATTCTGATAGATTATCGATTAAACAACAACAGCGAAATTTAGAGCAGTCATATAGACAGTACCAATTGAACATCAAGGTCCAAGAAAACAACAAAAATAGATTAAAACCTAACACATGCATATGAGATGAGATGACATTAGTTTTACTTTAATATTCATACTTAATCACACTAACATTTTTTTTGGCTAAAAGAGATTATATTTATGTTTTTATATATGTAGATAATAATTTGAAAAAATGGGAGATTAATTTGTTTGATGTTATGGGATATAAACAAAATTACGTCTTCAAGAACTTGTTTTATAGTATAAACTCAATTCTTGGTTTAATGTTTTTCTTACTTATTAATCATAGGTTAATATCATTGTTGTCCGTTATAATTTAATCTAATTTTAATTTTGATTATTTTAGCTTTAAATAGTTGGTTTTGTCTCTATAGTTTCACAAAAATTTGATTTAAGTTTAAGTACAGGGACCAAAACTAACTCTCGCAAATAGTATAGAGGTTATTTATTAACCTCAGACAAAAAATTATAAAATTATAAGGACTAAAACAGACTATTTGAAACTAAAATTTGTTAATAATATTAACTCTAATTATTTATATGAGAAAGAATTTGGAATCTCTAACCATATATTTTAATCATGAAGAACTGACTTTTTTTATGTATAGCATAATT